ATCAAGTGATAATTTGTGTAAATAAAAATTTTAAAATATAAATATATTATTTTATAAATTGTATTGTATTATTCTACCTATATTTAAGATAATTCAAAAAAACTGATGTTATTGTTATTTTAACTAAGCTTTATAATCCTTATTTTTCTGAACTCCGAACTAGTGTTGCGTAATCGGCTAATTTTAGCCGATTACAAAAAGGCAGCCGAGATTTTAGGTAAAAAATTGTCTAAGCCTAATTAGGTTTAGCCTAAAGTCTAAAAATTGGCTAAAACTATATGAATATGATGGAAAATATTATGAAGTTGGGATATAGGGATTTTAGTTTCGGCTTCTCTAGAAAAGCCGCTAACTATTTTGCTCATAACTCACGAATGGTTCATTCCGCTGGTATGCGGTTTAAATATTCTGGAGGATAAATTAACGGGCTACACATTGGCATAATTTTCGGTAATTGATCCTCACTTTCTAAAAATAATTCCGTTAATTTTACACTTTTAAAACGGATATAACTGGGTTATGGTTAATGATAGCGATATCCGGTTTGGATATTATTAACGTACATATTGAATACTACATATTTGCCATGTTTCAAAACATAATCTTTTTTATTATCGGTTTTGGCAAAGTACCAACATTTTTTATTTTGCTTATAACTCACGAACGGTTTATTCCGCTGGTATACGGTTTAAAGATTCTGAAGGAGCAATTAACGGGCTACATATTGGCATAATTTTCGGTAATTGATCCTCACTTTCTAAAAATAATTCCACTAACTTCCCCTTTTAAAAGGGTTATAACTCGGTTACTGATAGTGATACCGATATCCGGTTTAGAGATTTTTAATGTACATATTGAATACTAAATAATTGCCAAGTTTCAAAACATAATCTTTTTTATGATCAACTTTGACAAAGTGCGAACATTTTTTATTTTGCTCATAACTCAGTAACGGTTCGTTCCGCTGCTTTCAGGATGGAAGATAAATTAGGATCAATTAATGGGCTACACAATGGTATAAGTTTCGGTAATTGATCCTCAAGTCGTTCCGCCAGTCAAAATTCATACTTTCCTTATTTTGTTGATATTTCACTTTCCTTTAATTTTTTTGACATTCCGTTTGAAGAATTTGGAGAATCAATTAAGGTACTAAATAGTGGCTTTACTAAAAATGATTGCTCGAATTTTAAATTTTGGCAAAATGCCTAAACCTTTCTATTTTGCCTATAACTCACGAACGGTTCATTCCGCTGGTATGTGGTTTAAAGATTCTGGAGGATCAGTTAACGCTCTACATTTTGGCATAATTTTCGGTAATTGATCCTCACTTTCTAAAAATAATTCCCTTAACTTTACGCTTTTAAAACGGATATAATTCGGTTATGGTTAAGGATACCGATATCCGGTTTAGAGATTATTAACGTACATACTACATATTTGCCTAGCTTCAAAACATAATTTTTTTATTATCGGTTTTGGCAGTGTGCCAACACTTTCTTATTTTGCTCATAACTCAGTAACGGTTCATTCCGCTACTTTCCGGATAGAAGATCAATTAGAATTAACGTGCTACAAAATGGCATAGGTTTCGTTAATTGATCCTCAAATCGTTCCGCCATCTTCAAAATTTCACTTTCCTTATTTTGCTTATAACTCAATAAACTTAGATTCCGCTGATGTTTGGGTTGGAGATCAATTAGGATCAATTAAGACTCTAAATATTGACATAGGTTTTGTTAATTGATTCTCTAATCGTTCCGCCAACTTCACGGACCTTTTTATATGATCTTTCTAATGATAATATTTTGACAATTGTCATATATTCCTTATTTTTTAAGATTTTTGAAATTTTTTGACACAAAAAGGTAAAAATATAATTTATATTGACAAAGATGTTAAATTATAAATTCAATGAAGATGTTCCTTAGAAAAATAACAATTATCATAATCGGTATTTTAAACATATTAGATCTTTTTTGACTCTAATGGGCAAAAATATGAATTTTTAATATGTTAAATTAAAATTTCAATTGAGATTACTTTATAAAGAAGACAATTGTCATAATCGTTATTTTTAAAGTTTTTAAATTTTTTTTGACGTAAATAGGTTAAAATAAGTATTGCTAACATGTTAAATAAAATTTCAGTGAAGATGTACCCTAGATAAGTGACAAATGTCATAACTGTTATTTTTAAAGTTTTTAAATTTTTTTGACGCTGATGGGTAAAAATATAGATTGTAAGCATGTTAAATTAAAATTTCAATTGAGATTACTATATAAAGAAGACAATTGTCATAATCGTTATTTTTAAAGTTTTGAAAAATTTTTATGACGTAAATAGGCTAAAATAAGTATTACTAACATGTTAAATAAAACTTCAGTGAAGATGTACCCTAGATAAGTGACAAATGTCATAACTGTTATTTTTAAAGTTTTTGAATTTTTTTGACGCAAATGGGTAAAAATATAGATTGTAAACTTGTTAAATTAAAATTTCATGAAGATATACCATAGAAAAATTACAATTGTCATATTTGTTATTTTTAAAGTTTATTGAATTGTTTTGACGAAAATGGGTTAAAATAAGTATTGCTAACAAGATTGAACTGCTGAATATAGAGGTTGAAATATTTACGTTGGTATATATAATTTACATTTACAAAATTTTCTTTATTGGTTTAAAATATATAAAATTGGAGCCAAGGAAGGGTTAAATCACCTGAAGAAGTAAGTACTATGGACATCATATTTTTAAAATAAATTATAAGAATAATAATATCATTATTAACATTAACTTTGAATTTTGATTGATTATTGATTTCGAAAGAAAATTTAACAACGATAATTTAAAATAAATATGAAGGAAGTGGTTAATATGAATTAAAACTCATTAAGAATTATAAAATAAATAAAACTAATTTTATAATATAATAAAATATATTTTTCTTTTTGTTGATATTTTTTAAGAAAAAATATAAGGTAACGAGTATCCCTGGGCGTTACCGTACTCAAAAAAAAGAAGTGCGTTACCGTTACTCGTTACCTCAAGAAGGTAACGAATGACGTTCCTTTTCTTCAATAAAAGTAACGTCGTTAGTAACGATGTTAATTTTTTTTACTTTACTTCACAGCACTAAATCCTATAAATGTTTATTTGTAGATAATATTAAAATTTAACATTAAATATAAAAAAAATAAATTATTTTACTTAAAATAAACAAATAATAATTAATAGGCGTATCTTGCGTAACGCTGACCGACGATTAGCCGATGCAAAATTTTCAACTAATTTAGTTTTAGCCGATTTTTAGGCTAAGTCTAATTAGGTTTAGTCAATTTTTTGGCTAAGCCTAAAGAGTTTAGCCGATTTTTATGCTAAGTCTAATTAGGGTTAGCCGATTTTTAAACAATTAGGCTTAGCCTATATATGGGCGTAGTTTTTAGCCAATTACGCCTAGCCTTTTTTTAAACAAGTGTTCAGCCATGTTTTTTAATGTAGAAATAATAAATTATTAGTGTTGCGTAATTGGTTAAAAACTACGCCTAAGCCTAAAAATCGGCTAAACTTAATTAGGCTTAGCCTAAAAAATTGCTCAAACTAAGCTAGTCAAAAATTCTGCATCGGCTAATCCTTAGTTAGCGTTCCGTAAGATATGCCTAGCATTAATTATTATTTATTTTTAGTAAAATAATTTATTTTATTTATATTTAATGTTAATATTTTATTATCAACAAATAAACATATGATTATTTCATTTCATAATATAATATTATGAAATGAAATATATTATAAAAATGGATTTATTTAGAATTTGACTAAACTGCAACTGCTTAGGTAAAAATTTTGATATATACTCTATTAATTGAAGTGAGATTCATCTTTTTATGAAAATAACTTATAAAAATTAAATATATTTCCTTTTATCTCATAATAAAAGGATTTAAACTTATGAGATATAATGTATATTCTTTATTATTGAATATATCTAGACATGTGCGCCGATAGCATTATTGGCGGCGGCGTTTATTTTTATAAACGATCGGCTTGCGGCGATGAATCGTTAAGATTAAACACATATCCATTCCCATTTTATCTGATGATAATAGTTCGGATGACTTATATGAACAAGATGATTTAGAAAAATTTATACAACTTAAAGAAAGGCAGGAAAAAATACTTAAAAGAGAGCTAACGATTGCAAAGAAAAATATTGGAAAAATAATGATTGAATTTGCGATTTTAAAAGATTGGATAAGAAGGAAAATATTTTGCAACTTTGGAAGTCTGCTAAGCTTAAGTACCCTGATTTATATATTTTAAAATCTTATTTGCTATTCCTGCAACCCAAGTTTATTTATCATATAAATATATTTAATAGAGGTTAGCGTTGAAAGATCTTTTTCACATTTGAAACATTCTTTCACTGCATAGATCGAGAATGAGCAAACAACTCTTGAAAGATATAATGTTAATACCTCTAAATAAAATAAAAAAATTTATTTTTTATACTAAATACCTAAATAAAAATTTTTTATCAATTCAAATATTTTTAAACCCAAGCTGAACCAGGGACCAAACTCGTGTTCAAAAATATTCCCCTAAACCGATTCTTTTACCTTTAACCGAACCCGGCTAAAATGTTTGCCGGGTCGCATTCCTTTAATGATTAATTTAGGGAAAGTAGATTAATTGGATAATCTATCAATCCCTTTTTGAACTTCAAGAGAGCTCTCAAATATAGCCAAAAATAAAAACTTACGGACAAATTTATGTAATTCAAATAAAATTTTAAGTGTGAATATTAGTTACTTATATTAAAAAAAAGGTAATGAGTCTTTTTAATTAAAGACAATATTTCATGAATTAACTTTATTGATATTTTAACAAAATTAAAAAAATAATGATATATATTTATATTATTGCAATGACTTATATGATAAACAACAAAATTTAAGATATAAATGAATAAGTTTTAAAAACAATTTAGTTTTAATATATTAAACATAATTGGTATAATATTTAATTTTCATGTGCATAATTGATTTATAGAAAGTGATCAGTTATATTTATAATTAAAATATATCTAGAACAACGAAAATTTCTAATATTATATCATAAAAAATAAAATATCTATAGATAAAAAAAATATGATATATAAATAGATGGCCAAAGTTGATTACCATCTAAAAATCGTTCCGAATGGGTAAAAGTTGTCAAAATCAAGGACGGCTGCATTAAGGAAGTCTTTTTTTTGAAAAAATACTTCGATTTTCCCGCAAATCAGTATAAATTTAAATATATTATAAAACTTTGTAAATAATATTCTACTATTGGACAGATAACAATTAGACGAAGAATAATTTTAAAAAAATTAAAGTTAAAAAATATATCAATTTAAAAAAAATGCTATGGTGTAATGTAATGTTATACATAAATATGATTTAAAGTATTAATAACTATTTCTAAAATATATTATAATTTTTTTAAGCCGAAAAATGGTAACTAAAATACATTATTATTTATTAAATGAGGCTAATAATATAAAATACTAGATAAATATATATTATGAATAAAAATTTGCATGTTCTATTTTTTTTTAAGTAAAATACTAGAATGGTAAATATAGAATTAATTTATTTATAATATAATCAAGAATTATTTTTTAGGAAAGTATAAACAAATTTCCGTTTAAATTAAATAAAAATTTCAATATTATGGCTTCGAATGATTCAGAGATTCGTTTTAAAAAAATAATCTGATTAAAAATATAGCTTGAAAACACTGATTGGAGTTAGGATCTCAAATTTCAAGTTTGTCTAGATATTGCGATCGAAATGGTTCTAACGGTGGTCCCCATCTGAGAGAAGGTTGAAGAGAATAGGTGAGTTTCTGAATTTCGAGCAATATATTTTATAATAAATTTAACTTTAATATAAAAAAGTTCAATAACAATTAACATAGTCATTGATTTTTTTTTAAAAAAGTCAAAACATCAGATTCTTTTATAATTTAAACCAAGATTTTTAAATATGACCAAAGCCTTGGTCGTGGGATTTATGAATAAAATTTTATAGTATCTTATTTATTAAATATTTATCTACCTTAATTCATATTAAAGAAGAATATCTTCATATTTTTATTTTAAATACATGAAAAAATAAATTTTAAACATTATATAATAAAATTAAATTTACAAAATCTGTCTTATTTACAAAAATTATTTTAATAGGATGGTTACAAGTGTAGTTAATGCCATAATGCCATGTTGAAGATGGGAACTAGTAGAATAAATTTATTTCGAAAATATTCTAATTTATAATGTGCTTTTTAAATATTTAATCTACTCTAATGATTCAGAGGAAAAAGATGTAAGAGAACAAATATAAAACATTTCATGTATAACCATTTTACTACTGTTCTAAAAGTTTAGTGAGAATAAACAACATATTGACAGATATCCAAGCATATTAAAATCAATGACCAATACTATGTAAAATTTGTGAAAAACCAGAAAAAATATAGACATTGTGATTTTCATGTAAAAAATTTATTTATTCACAAAAATCTCTTAATGATACTCATTTAAATCACATCCTTGAATGTATTACAAAAAATTATCGAACATATCAGAATGTTTAAAACTGACTGCACACATCTGATATTTATTAAATGCCAAAGTCCAGTCAAGTTGTGCTAATCTGACCAGCCCGAATTAGATCGGATTAAATGATCCGCTGGGAAAATTATAAAGAAAACTAAGGTCAGTCTAAAAATGTTTATTTTAGTATATGGCATTCCACTAAATTGATATTTAGAATAAACAATACGAACCAAAAGTCTATTTTTATCGGTTCTTATATCGCCCAATTTACTTAAAATGTCCAAAAAAGAGTGGCCCCCAATATTATTGATATAAGTGTTTAAATTTGAGCAACCTCTTGAATGTTATCGCCCTTGGATATGCATAAGTAATATACTGCGTACATTGGTATGGGCAACAAACTCGAGACACTTATGATCCATCCGATTGAAGAAGCCCATTTAGGGTAAAAGTAATGCCCGTATTGAACGGGGACGTGAAATACGACGTTAAATATCAGAACGATCTTTTCTCCCATATAATATTAATGTTATTATATATTCACCTTTATATAGTGATAATAAATATTTCTATCAGACAATTTTATAAAAATATTATTTCCATAATACGAAACACAAACCCTGTTGATATATATAGAGTGAGTCTTATAATTAAAATATTTCCTAGAAATCAAATCCTACGAGGTTGGGAAATGGTGACTTTATCAATTTACTTTTGTTATCCTCCTTACTAATGATTAAAAGTATTTGTTTAAATTGGAGGTCGACGTAACCCGATCTGACGGGCTTTACAAATTATGCAAAATATTTTTAAGGTAATTAGGAAAATTTATATTTATTTTCTTTCATACTAATTTGTAATCTATGGTCGTAAATACTTTCATATAGTGTTGTTACACGCGATTTAGCCTAGTTTTAAAAATGGCTAACTCAAGATTTTTCCCCAATATAAAATGTGTTAAGCTTGGAAATTTTGCCCACTGATGACAGAAAAGTCTGAACATCTATTGACGAAATTTCGAGGCTTAGTAAATCATATTTTAGCTAAAATTTGATTTAGCATATAACGTTATGTGGCTCAATTTAGCCCTTTTTTAAAAACGACTTGTTCAATATTCAGTATTGCCTAAGCCACACAATCTTTCACTTATAAATGTCTTTTATAACATCTATGAGCAAAATCTTATGGCTTGCGTAATATTTTTCTAGAAATATTGAGATAACCGTTTTTAAAAATCGGCTCAAATCGAGTCGTTTAACAATACTAGTCACATATAGATGCAAGCTTATACTAATAGCTCTAGTTTATTTAATATAATATTATGATAGAATTAGATTTTTCAAGAAAACTAGTCAAAAAAAAATCGGTCATGTCCGAGCATTTGGGACCGATTTTGAAGGAATCTAGTTCAAATATATTCTATCATTAATTTTTAGTTATAAGTATAATTTATGAGCATTCCTGGTTTTAATATTTAATCTGACTTATTAAAATCTAATCTAATAAGAGTAACTTCATTTATATCTGATCTGCACAATAGAAAATTTAAGAATTGATATAATTCTTTAGTTCTCAATTTTTTTAAATGAAAATATATTTTAAAAATAAACAAGTTACCGATAAAAGTAATGGTATGAGATATTTCCACAAAAAAATCCAAAGTTTTGGAGCCCATATTTTCTTGTTAAGCATAAATTCGATATCCCCCACAAATCGATCGGCACCTTAATAAGCGGTGAAATAAAGATAAAAATTTGGTAAATATTTTTCTAAATCTTACCCGTAAAATGGTATGATTATAAAAATTCAGACCGAGTCTTAAAATAAAATCACAAGTCTGAGAGCCTGGGCTAGGCAATTTTTTAAAAATAAATCGAAAGCATATCGATAAACAATTTTTTTAAAAAAAATCCCATAATGGACAATTTACAACCATAATTATTTAAAATGACCAAATTTAAAAACCAAAGCCGGGAAGTAATTTTTGAAAATTTTGTATCTAAGATACAAGATTTGATATTTCAAATAGACAAAATAAAATTAATATAAAATAGTGCAATATATTTATTAAAAATTTTTTATGTAAATAATTTATGTAGAAAATGGACAAAACTTAATTGTATTTATATATATATTTTTTTAAGAAAACATTTATTTTATTGTTCAAATTTTACATAATCACAGTTAAAAATTATAATTTCTAAAAATTTCAATTTGAATTTTTTGGCGAAAATAAAGAAATTCTCTGGGTTCATTTGTAAAAAGCCGCATTATATTTCCCAGAATTTTTAAAAACTTAAATGTTGATGGCGAAAAATGCCCGTTCGTAGAGGTCACTACTAGAGTGAATATGAAGTTTTTAAAATTTTTATATTTGTTGATCTTTTTAATTTCTGCCTTTATTATTAAATTGATATTTATGTTTGAGGGGAATGACGAGACACATGTGTAATCCCATATAAGTGATTTATCGAGGGTCCAAGGTATAAAACAGAATATGTTTTTTAAACAATAAACAACGAAAGTTGGAAGGTTAAAAAATCATTGCTCCCGATAGTTTAACCCTATTTGGGTGCCCATAAGCTAATGCTACCAAGTCAGGAGATTTTCTTCATAACATTTTTAAAAGCTTTTACAGCATGGAGCATCTATGTCAACTGCCGGCACATCAAAGTTTATTGTTAATACGCAAATACCTTTATATACCTAAATTTTTGCACATTTTCGAATATCATCTTTTTTCAAAAACAACGAATTCATATCTATAATTCAGGATAAATTTAAAATATTTATAGAAAAAATTTTAAACATAAATTTAAACACATTCAATTGGTCACTTGCTCAGCTACCTTCTAAACTAGGCGGTTTAATTTTTTGCCACTCAATCTTTTATCCTTATCATCTAGATTAAATTCTATGATTTCTGGCTTCTATGACCTACCGATCGTTTATTAGATGACGCAATTAACAAATGGAAGGCAAATATACCCATTAACACTAACTTACCATCAATCATTACAAAAATTTTCACATTTTTAATCTCGAAATACCAAACAGATATATTAGTCAATCCACCTATAGATTGCATTCAACTCCTTCAATTATCTGACAGACTTGGTGGTCATGAATGGTTAGAATCACTCCCTAGTCGTAACCTTGGTAATCTCTTATCAGATGAACAACTGAGAGTAACCATTGGTTTACGTCTAGGTTGTGACATAGTATAGCCTTATGCTTGCATCAAATGCAAATCACATTTCGATTCAAAGGGTAGGCATGGCCTTAATTTTATATTTAGTCAAGGGCGACACCAACGCCACACAGTAGTAAACCATGTAATAAATAGAAGCCTAACAGCTGCCCACATTCCGAGCAATTTTGAACCAACAAAATTATCTCAAGTAGATGACTTAAGACCTGATGTAATCACTTATATGGGATTATACATGTTTCTTGTCATTTCCCTCAAACATAAATATCAATCTAATAATACAGGCAGAAATTAAAAAGACCAACAAATATAAAAGTTTTAAAAACTTCATATTCACTCCAGTAGTGACCTCTGCGAAGGGGCATTTTTCGCCATCAACATTTAGTAATTAAAAATTCTGGGAAATAAAATACGACTTTTTACAAATGAACCCAGAGAATTTCTTTATATTCGCCAAAAAATTCAAATTGAAATTTATATATATTTGTGAAAACAAAAACTATAAATTATAACAATGAAAACAATGGTAAAAAAATAATAATATTATGCTTGTAAAAAATATAAAGTGTAAATTAAATGATTATAATAAAAGGGAGTTAAATATAAATAACATTAAATATATTTGTCGGCTTAATATTATAGTGTATGTCTACTATTTGGCAAAGTGCTCCTTGGATAAATCAATCCCTTCAGTAGTTTATTCTTCCATATTACCAATAAAAATGTTAAAATATAATTTAGAATTAGAACACTATAATACTAAGCAGATGATTTGTAACAAAGTGTTGTTAAAGCTACTTTTAAAAGTAGCGCGCTATCGCTGCCGCTATTTTACAAAAAATGTAGTTCGCTATCGCTAGCGTTCAAAAAAGTAGCGCTACTTTTTAAGCTACTTTAGAATTCTTCTTAAATATTTTTTACATCATAATTTTTTTCATACATTTCAATAATTACTTTCATTAGAGATCTGCAAATCACGGTCCGATTCGTATCTGGCCCGCAAATTTAAGTTCGGGTTGAGCCTAATAATTATTAAATTGGGCCGGGTTGGGCTTAAATTTTTAAATATGATATCATTTAAAATTCCTGCAAGAAACAAGGCGCTATTGTAGAATATTTTTTACAATCAAAAAAAATTATTTTATTTTTAATGCGGGTCGGGCTTTTCGGGGCATATAAAAAATTTCGTCGGGACGGGCCGGGCAGAACAAATTTTTTTTAAAAAAATTTCGAGCAGGGCAAAACATAGACCCGATGCAGAATAACAATTTCCTTACTTTTACGTTTTAACCATGGATATTTTATTTTTATTTTTAAATTTAAATTTTTATTTCCAAAAAATTATTAATTATATATATATATAAATATAATTATTAAATTTTAATCAAATATTGTTTTTTACCTTTTACAAAAAAAATCAATCCCTTTCTACTTTTCTTTCAACTTCTTATTTTGCCCAAAACATCTTGCCAAGAAGTAATAATCAAAAATCGGAGAAAAAGCAACTGTCTATTTAATTTTGTTTTTATATATATATATATATCTACTATAAAATAAATATAAATTGATTAATAATATAATTGATCTAAAAATAGCAATTTTTAATATCAAAAATAATATTCATCACAAAAAGAATGACTTCGCAATTTAACATAAAAAGAATGATTCCACAATTTAACATAAAAAGAATGACTTGAAACACAAACTACGCACCTCATCTCGCACCGGCCTATTCCCATAACTATAGCCTTTCATCGTATTTTGATTAATTTGCCCGGTAACATTCTTATCGTTGTTCTTTAGGTCCTCGAGTCTTTCCTCTTGGTTCGACGACATAAATGCTTTCCTGTAAAAATCACGTCTTGGTTTGACTTTGGTTCTCTACTATTTGCATCCTCCTATTAAACATTTATCCAATTAACCCCGATATTATTAATTCTCCCTTTCGTTATTATTCTCGATCACTAAGGTATTGAGTTAATTCATCTTTGGTGTAGTTGTACCCTTAGATTTTCCTCGAATATATTAAGATAATTTTCCCACCATGCATCACCGATAAATTAATTCCCTTTATTCATACTCAAATCTTAATCTTCCAGGTTCCAAGCCTCTTTTCAATTGATCCCGATGCTGTATTCCCTCTCTTCCATCGGTGAATTTTATTCGATTTAATTTGTGTCCAATATTTTCCACTATCACCCCGATTTCCCATCTCCTTGTACCTACAAATATTCTGGCCCATAAGGTCTGTCCCACTATAAACTCAGGCGTCTCCCTTAGCTTCTCTTCCACCTCTTAAATCGGTTTCCGCTTTAACAAATCCAATAGTATTCTGGTTTGCCTCCCTAAAAACTTTTCTGCTGGAGATTGTTCTTCCCCCTTTCGACTGTTGTTATAATATGCTACGGCTATCCAAATTTCCCCACACCCATACTTTGATTTTCTTAAACAGTTCTTGACAACCGATACCATCCTTTCCGCCTGACCATTGGAGCTCAGATGATATGGTGGTGCTAAAATATGCCGTATACCGGTTTCCACGCAAAACACCTTAAACTGCTCACTGATAAAAGCTGGACCTCCGTCAGATACTATTGTTCACGCTACTCCGAACCTGGCCCATAGATTTTTCAATGTCTTCACTACCACTTGAGTCGTTAACCCCCCTTACTTCCTCGTACTCCACCCATTTTGAGGTCCACCACGAGTATATAAATCTTATTTTCAAAGTCAAATAAGTCAACGTTAATCCTCTCCCACGGCTGAATCGCCTTTGATTAAACACTCTTCTTGTCCTTATGGGGCATTTTGGCCCACGTATTGCACATCAAACAACTCCTATTGATATTTTCTATATCTATTCCCGGCAACCATACATATTCTCTGCCCCATTGTTTCATCTTCTCCACTCCTTGATGCCCTGCATGGATCATTATCAACACAGCATCCCTTAATTTGAGCTGCACTACACCTCTATTCCCTCGTACCACACATTCATCTACTATGGCCAAATCTTTTTCTATATATTTGTAAGTTTTGTCTTCATCTCGCCATGTCTTCCGCCCCTTTATGCATGCCTTGATACGTGTTTATTCGCGATCCTTTAATGTGGCCTTTTTGAGTTGTTCCCACGTTACCCGTCCTCCTTTAGATAGTCTTGCCATAGCCCTAATCAATCCATGCTCATCCACTTCCTCCATACCTTTCGACTTACTATCTTCGACATTCTTTCCCGTTCCACATCTAAAAAGAATATCCGGTAAATAATTCTCTCTTCCCTTCCGATATTTTAATTGTAAAAGCTGCCCACCAGTAATAGCCATCTCTGTAGTCTAGGCGATAACATTAGCTCTTTATTATCTAACTTAAAAAATGCACCAGTGGTTTGTGGTCCGTATATACCATGAATCTACGCCCTATTAAGTACTCCCGATATTTTGTCAATCCAAAAATAACGGCCAAAGTTTCTTGTTCGATAACCGAATATCTAGTTTCCGCCGCCCTAAGAATTCA